TTGAGGGCAGCTGGTCAGAGCTCTATTTATTCCATGACTAATCAGTGATAACTACAAATAAATGAGATAACCACTAGCACCCATCCTTGCTACCTATACCACCTACGATTACAGATGTAACCGGAACCAAAATAACTGCTCTAAGGACAGTTTACCTCTTTACTGATCACCAAATTTCATGCATTATCACAAATAGAGAAAGAAAAACCTTACTTGTAATCTTCGGATTTGGATGTCAGAGAACTTTCTTACTCCATTTACTGAAGGTACCAAACGATTAAACAGAGCCTTAAAAAAAGCAGGAAAGGGGCTTTTAGATGAAAGAACTCCCAGTGCCTGGCTAGCTGTATCACCATTCAAGGCACCAACACTAATTTGAGGGCTTCTACCCTTTGGAAAGTCCCCAGCACTGTACCTTGTCAGTCTGAGTCAGTTCATGGAACATCCGAGCATCAATGGCCGCAGCAACAAGGTTATTAGCTGCAGTGATGGCGTGGATGTCACCAGTGAGGTGGAGATTAAACTACGAAAGATCAGAAGTCCCATCAGTCTCCAGCTCTCTGTGTCTTTCCAACCCTCCTTTATACAGCCAGATTGTCCTGTGTTAACACCAATGCAATACTGGTGGCAGTATGGCAAGTGGACCCAACAGTGGGAGCTCCTGAAAACAGATGAGGGGCTGTCCACTCGCGGGAGTATCCCCTGCAAAACACAGAACCAGACGCCACAAATGCCCACTGCCAAGACTGAAACCTACGCACACTCCTTAAGCAGGGAGTGAGGAGTGTACTGCATGTCTATACGTTGTTCCCATGTCTGCCGCCTCTGAATTCACCGTGTGTTGGTGCTTTTCAATAGTACATTTCATTTGACCACTTGCTTAAAATGATCATTCTCACCAAAAGCCAGACTTGGGAATCAAGCTCTGTCAGAAGTTTACAAATTAAGATTTTTTTTCTTCTGAGAAACAAGCATTTGTCCTCTAAGGTATTTTTTTAAAAAGTTAATCTTTGGAGGAAAAAAGCTAGAATGAAGCTTTATAAAGGATTCGGTCTACCAAATGCTTTACCTCTTCCATAGGAACGACCTGGGAGTAGCCGCCTCCTGCAGCGCCACCTAGGGGACAGACCAAAGGTAGGGACTCCCTTTAAGTGATGCCACATGATTTCTTTAACTACTAAGCATATTATTTGTTTATTTTGCATCATCATTTGGACAGATCTGATTGTTTTCTAATTTTCTTTTACCATGCTAAAACACTCGATCTTGTTTGTGCTGAATAGTCTCTCAGCTGAAATCTGAGTCTAAATGACAAAACTGTGAACACATACATACATACCTACTCATTATCTTTAGAAAAGGTTCCCTGTGATTCTTAACATGTTAAGAGACCCAGCTGACAGTTACATAAAGGCAAGCCTGTTAAATTTCCTACTCTCATAAGCCTACTCTGGCTTTAAAAATAAAAAGAAAGGAAGGAAGGAATATTTAAGGTACACACACTAACAGAGCCTCCAATTCTTCCCGAATAGGTGACATATGTTAGCAAACAGCTTACTGCTATAATTCTGATGGCCCAATTGGGTTATCCACAAAAGGCCAGTCAAAAATGCCCAGGTTAAAAATAATAAATGTCCAGGTTTCCACATCATCATTGAGAGGTCGCCCTGGAGTACACATTTTATTTTTGTGAGGTAGGAAGCATACAATGAGGTTACTTTGCAGTAAAAAGAATGAGACTAATGAGTTTGCTAAGCAGCACAAGGAAAAGACTTATTCTGGAGTCAAAGCGGGTAATCAGTGCAGAACTAAGTCATCACATTTGTACAGCTGTAAGACAGAGGTGTGCACAGCCGGGCGTGGTGGTGCATGCCTGTTATCCTAGTACATGGGAGTCTGAGGTAGGAGGATCTGGTTTACAAGGTGAGCTCAAGGCCAGCCTGAACTGCATAGTGAGACCCTATCTCAAAAAGAAGAAAAAAAAAAGGACAGAGGTGTGCCTGGTGTCAACAGTCACAGTAATTTCTACAACAAACAGAATGTGATGCCCTGTTACTAAACAAACAAGAAAGCTAGCTTGAAGAACTTATTACAGTTTTAATTAAAAGAACATGTTTGTATGACTGTAGCAATCAAAATCTGAAAGTTAAGTATGATTACTGATGTCCTGGTCTCATCCAGTTAAGCAGTGTGTTATGATACAGGGTTAAGAGGCTGAAATAAATGGGGCTGGTCTGGTACTTAATGGTGCTTGTGACCAAGTTCACAATGCAGTCCTATTGCTGCTACTGTAAAATGACAATCCTACTCTCTTACAAGGGAGGATAAAATAGAATATGCATCAGCTGCTTAGCATAACACCCAGCACCAAGCACATGCTCAGTGAGGCAGGCACCTCTCATTCCCAACAGGGAGACATCTGTGGGGCTTGTTTCTGCCTGGCCGTGAGCATGAATCCACAGCTATGGTTACCTTTACTGTGATAGTGGACTATTAGGGTCTAATAAAAGTATCTCCAGCTACCCATTACCAGTTCCAGAGTATCTCTGTGCAGCGTCAAATGGTGACAGGAGCGGGCTGATCTGATGAGTTTTCACCAAATGCGCTGCTGTGGGGGGTTGTAGGGTGTTGTGGTACCTGAGTGAGCAGAAGGCCCCTTAACATTCATGGGCCTACTGGGTCTGGGAGGACTGAAGGAAAGGCAGGTACCCTCTGGGGACCCAGGCTCAGTCCCATGAGTACCTTTTATTCCAAAGGTGGGGCCCTGAGAAGGCTGTCGCACACACGCGAAGACATTCTGGTAAAGGTGGGCTCCAAGGGCCTGCACCAGCCCAATTGTGGTTGTGCTTTTTCCTTCTCCCAGGGGCGTTGGAGTTATTCTTCAGATGAAAGCAAAAGAGGAAGAGGTTCACTTCCAGAATTAAGTTTGTTAAATCACCAAGTCAGACCTAGCAGACCTAGAGAATGACTCATCTAAATAATGAGAAAGACAAAAGCTGTGAAAGAGATCTTTTCTGAGTCTTTGTTGTAATTTTCAAAAGTTTAAACAAAACACTGTATTTTAGCTCTTCTCCCTGCAAATATGCTTGACATTTGACCTTTTCATCAGATACCACTATAATTTTAATTTCTCAATTTATAGTGTCAAAAACTAACTTGTGGGGCTGTGGTATAGCTCAGCTGGAGAGCACTTGCCTGGCATGCACAAGGCCCTGGGTTTTGCCTCCAGATCCACAAAAGCAAAGAAAAATAGCTTTCATGTATAATTTTAACATAGCAATAAGAAGGATTCTTCAGGAGACTTAACCGAAACTTTCCATCTTGACCACTCTCCTCATCTCTAAAGGATTTCCATTCTTCCCACTTTTTTCTGCCTCACAAGGTTAAAGACGAAATGCATGGAAAATGCCCACATCACAGCATGTCAAAGCCACCTCCACAGCACAGGTGTGTGCAAAGTGCAAACACAACATTGGGCTGGTAACAATCAGGACAAATGTTAACTCCACAGGCAATGAGAAGAAGAGCCTTACCCAGTCACCACTACGTATTTCCCATCAGGCTGGTGCTTCAGTCGCTCAAGTGCTGACAGCTGGACCTTGGCCTTGGTTTCCCCATATAATTCCACCTCTCCAGAGAGCAGGCCGATTTCTCGAGCCAGGTTACCAATGGGTTTTGGTTTACATGACCGTGAGATATCAATATCACTTTAAAAGCACAGAAAATAGGTATTGATGTGTGCTCACTGAATCTAATCTCACATTAGTAATGACACCCCCCCACCCCCCCAATTGATTATGTATTCACTGGATGCATGCATGCACACTAATGGCATCTAAAAACCAGAAACCCACAAAGTTTTAAGGCAGGGAAGTGTCATTTTTACCTTGGAACAGGTGTCTTCAGGTTGAGACTGTTATACTGAATTGTCCATACTCCTGGTTTACATTTCTCCAAGAAACGGTTTGCGCTCTCCACCGTACTCTAAGCAAAATGACATAAACAGGAGGTGCTTATGTCAACTCCACCTCATTCCAAACTCCAGGTCACTCCAGCTCAAACTCCACGTGAAACTGTCTCACGATTCCCTCTGTAACATGCTTTAGTTCTACACAAATTCACCTAATATGCTACTAATATGCTCTTGGATTGTTTGCAAAGCAAACAAACCAAAGAGAGCTTGCCAAGTCAGTGTCTGTATGTCTTTCTGTTCTAGGAAAGGGAGTAAGAACTGTGCCATTTCCTCCATTAATGGTACTATGGTACTGTTTATACGCTCTTCTACTTCCTTTCTTCCTTCAACAGATTGGCATCTTCGCCCAGCCTTTTGCTAGGCTTTCTGCCACATTCTGTGGGGAGAAGGGTCACAAAAACTCACACACACCTGCATCAGCATCGCCACAGTCATGGGCCCAACACCACCAGGGACAGGCGTGATGAAGCTGGCCCTCTCCTTGGCCTCCTTGTACGCCACATCGCCTACCACCTTCTTTCCATTTGGTTTTGTATTGTCTGATCAAGAGGGGAAAAAAACAATCAAAGCACTGTCTCAGAAGAGCAATACCTGTGTTTCTCCCGAAGTGATCAACTATGACGTTCTGTTTCAAAAGCTAAGTAGAATTTTAGGGTGTGAGTCCTGTCGGGTCTAAGTGCCTGCGTTAGTTAAAAGCTTCTAAGGACGAGGCGAGGATGGAGCCCTTCCCTTTACAAGTGCGAGGCATGAGTTCCACCCTGAACCCCTGCAGGGTAAACGGCTTTTCTAACTTCACAGGGAGAAAACTATGTTACCTGTAAACATTCACAAGACATTCTTTAGTGGTTTCTCAGAACCCAGAGACTCCATCAGATGGCAAATAAAACATGGCTGGTTTTTTATTCCTAAAACCAACTACCCAGTATAAGAACACTAAAATGTTAATTGCCAAGGCCTACAAAAGGATTTTTTGAGCGCACAAAGCTCCAACTATGTCACAGCTGCCAGATACGGTTTCTACAGCAACTGTCAGCATTCTGTAAGCTCCACGGGTGAGCTGGAAGAACAATTCAACATCCAGTTCTGAAGATGAGCAGCCATTTAAATGTATGCAAAAGGCAAAGAATATAATTGCCCTTCCTTTAAAAGGCGACAAGGACTACAAATCCTAGTGGCAAAGGACAGCTACTGAAGAGAACAAAACCAGTGACGGCTCACTGCTCGCTCACACCAACAGCATCCCACACTTGGCTGCAGCACACCTCTGGGAGGGCCTGGAGTCAGCCTGGACCGTGAAGAAGTAATGTTCCTGAGACAGGGTCTGGCAAAGTCTCAGCCATACTGCCGTCTCTCCCTGAGCTTCTCTAGAATACAGAGAGGAAGCGTCAGGGTTCGACCGAAGTACCCGAACGAAGAGAGTAGGCTCTAGGATGAGCTCTTACACTGTCCTCAACCACAGGCTGCACATGTATGTGGTCCAGAGACACAGAAGAGTAACACTCCCTATGTCTCATACTTTGTCAAACCTCACCCAACAATTCTTGAAAGTGAAAAACATTCTTGTGGGGTGTGATGGCACACGCCGGTTATCCCAGCACTCAGGAGGCTGAGGCAGGAAAGTCGCTGCGAGTTTAAGGTGAGTCTGAGCTACATACTGACCAGCCTGAACTATATAGCAAAAGAAAAAGTATTCTGCAATCATTAAGATTTCTGGCCCCATTTGTGAACTTTTGTTTGTGTGTGTGCACATGCATGCACACACAAGAGATGGAACCCAGGGCCTCATATATGTAAGCATATATCCTAACACTAAGCTGCAGACCCAGCTCATACATACAGAACGCAATTGCATGTATTAGAAGGAGTGGTGACTACAATTCCTTGGGATTGTTTCCTGTTTCCAGACGATTATAAAGCACCAACTATGGCAGAACATTTCCCCCTATAACTTCTGAAGTCCTTTCAAGGGGCAAAGGAGGCATGGTGCACTTGTAATGCCAGATACTTGAGAGGATCACAAGTTTGAGGCCAGACTAAGCAATTTAGCTAGACCTTGTCTCAAAATAAAACATTTTAAGAAAGAACTAAAGATGTGGTTCAGTAGTACAGTCCTGGCCTAGCACCTGGGAAGTCCTGCACTCACTTCCCAGGAATGGAAAAAAAAATAATCAGGAAATACAGCTTTATCTTTTGTACTAATTATCTTAAAATGCCTTTGAAACTCTTATTTGCCAGTGTTAGTCACTGTAGTTTCTGCATGGACAGCAGACACAAATCAGTGACTGCACCATCAAATACTGTAGCAGACAAACTCGGTTTGGTTCTTATACCAAGTATCATTGGAGTTGACTCACGCCTCTGACACAAGTATAGTCTCATATGATGTGGTCAGTAGGAAAAGTGACCAGTGCACAACCCATGGACACAGCTTCAGTAACAGACAGACATTGGGAAGTTGCATGTACAAAATTCAACTGAGTCTTGATATTTAACTTGCAGACCCTTAATTATAGACACCAATAACAGAAGCTACTACACTGGACAGGCTGAGACTGGATCAGGTAAGGATGAGAATGCTCTCTTTTTTATCCTCCTTCCAAATTCAATACTATTAATCTGGACCCTCATAGTATCTTTGGTAGTACACAGAGCAGAAAGAACATTACACATGTTGCTCTGGCCAGTACTTTTTACTCTGCACCTGAATCTTAAAAATTTATACCTTTTTTGGGCGGGAATATAGCTGAATGGTACAGCAATGGCCTAGCATGTGCAGAGTCCTGGGTTCAACACTCAGCACAGTCAAAAAAGTTAACACTAAAAAAATTCTTTATGAAAATATATGTAAACCTTAGTTTATTCTTAATTTGCCAAGAGACTTGTCCTGTTTTGCCCAAGTGGCTTATACAAGCCAATTTATTTTTAATTTAATTTTTTCTTCTGAGGCAGGGTATCACTAATTTGCCCAGGCTAGACTTGAATTCATAATTCCTCCTGTTTTGGCCCCATAGAACACTGGTGTTATAGACATACACCACACAGGCTAATTTTTATTTTCTTGATGCTGGGGATCAGGTCCATGCCAAGCACTTGCTCTACAATTGAGCTACACCCCAGCCCCCTGCAAATAAGTTAAGTAAAACAGGAACAAAGACTTGGCTCAGTAGTGGAATACGCTGATTCTAAACTGAACATTTGCAAAGAATGCTCTTTGAGTCCAGCAGACTGTCCACTGGTCAGCAGCTCAGTGATTTGGCCACTCCTTGGGAACAGTAACATCCAGGCTTCTCCATATTTATTTGCCTTTATATCCAGGATCAGTGACCAGGACAGATGACACTGCTTTAATTTTATTTATATTTTACCATCTATATCATGCATCAGCATGAACAGGATGGAAAGATTTGTTTAAATCAACGTTTCAAACCCATCTGCCAGATCCCAGATCCCCACCCAGGGCTTCCTTCTCCATCTCTTACATCTAATCAGAAAAAATGCCCACAGCAGAAGGTGCGAGGTGGAAACAGAATGAGCTAGATTGTCATGCCTGCAAGTATTCAAAGTGCAGAGTTGTAGGAGAGCAATTTCTTTATCACTCGTCAGATAATTACGCTACCAGAAAATGAGTGATCAATTATGAGCTACTGTCTTAAAAGCGCAGTGGAGAGTGGGAGGGAGGTTAAAAACGGTGAGGACTTGACAGTGACTAATGCTCCTGGCAGCTCAGTGTCTACATTTCAAACTTGACATAGAAAAGGAGAAAAAAGATTATTCTTACAGTAACTCCCTTCAACGAGTTCCTGCCAGATATCAGAGGCAGGAACCTGGACACGGCATGACACAGTCACTAAGCAGAAGGTACTGACTGTCTTGTGAGAGAGGCATATGTGACAAAAGAAGTCGCAACCTGTGAGGGACAGAAGGGAAGGAGGAATAGACATGAAAGACAGAGAGGAGGTGGGAGGGAGCAATGTGAAGCAAAGTCCAAAAAAAGGTGGTAGTGCTCGGCAGTGTAGCTCAGTGGTATGGTACTTGCCAAGGTTCTGGGTTTGGTCCCCAGAACTGCAGTGAACAAACAAATCAACTCCAGGACCAAGGATGTAGCTCAGGGCAGAGTTCTCGCCTCGCATACACAAGGCCCTGAGCACTGGAACTTTGTTGTGAAGCATAAAACCCGTGGCAGGACAGTGTCTCCTCGATTCTCACAGCACTTTGCAACGGTTTCTATAATAGCCTGACCCTGTCTGCAGGGCTACATTCTGTTTTTTTGTCTTTTTGAGACAGGGTTTCGCTATGCAGTTCATGTTGGCTTGAACTCACTTTGTAGCTTAGGCTGGCCTCGAACTTGCAACTATCTTCCTGTCTCAGTCTCCTGAGTGCTGGGATTATAGGCACGCGCCACCACGTGCAGGGCTACATTTTAAGATACCTGGAGGATGCCCAAAGCCATGGACAGTACTGAATATATAACTCTTTTCCTACATACACACCTATGGTAAACTTTAATTTTATAAATTAGACATAATAAGCACCTGCCTGGCAAGTGCAAGGTCAGGAGTTCAATCCCCAGTACAAAAAAAAAAAAAAAAAGGCACAATAAGAGATTAACAACAATAATTACATGTAATAATACAAGAGAACAATTTTAATAGTGTAGGGCTGGGGATTTAGCACAGGTGCCTGGTTGGAAAGCACGAGGTTGTGAGTTCGATCTCCGGTACCAATAAAAACAAAAAAAACCCCCAAAAAACCAATGCTGTACTAAAAAAGTTGACAAATTATCCTCCTCTGTCAAAATCTTATACTTTTTCATTTTATAGCTTCTCTTTGGTTTATCCAAATTATAAGCATATCTACTCGTGCATTTTGGGGTCATTACTAAGCATAAGGAGTGCTCAACACAAGACTGCAGTACCACCAAGAGTCCCTCTAATGAGCATGAACTAGAAGGAAAGAAGAGTATTCAGCATAGCCACGCTGGACACAGGGGAGTCAGGCCCAGGCAGGGAGAGCTGGGATGGAGAAGGCAGAACAAGATTTCCTCAAACTACACCGAACAGCACACACTTTTAAGATTCCTGCTGTTTCTAGAATTTTCCATTCACCATTTTGGGACAGAAGTTGACCTTGGAAAAGTGAAATTGTGGGAAGCAAAACTGTGGATAAGAAGGGACTACTGTATTTTTAAAATGTGATCTTCTTTGTTGAAGTAGAGGATAATCTCTATGAAGGCAGTGCAGTATCACTATCCTACTTTGTCTCCCTGGACTGTGTGTAAAGTGGTGAAAGTCCAGGCTTGATCCCAAGTGGCTGTCTTTCCCCTGCCAACTCCAGTACTTCCCCCCCAGACAACGCAGGCTTCCTGTCCTCCACCAGAAACCGCGCTCCTCCCCACAGCAACACTTACCCGGGACATAATTGATTCCACAGTCGATGACGACAGCCCCCTGTTTGATCCACTCCCCTTTCACCATTTCAGGTTGACCTGTGGCAACCACCAGGATATCACCTTTATTTACCTAGGGAAGGGATTCAGACCTCAGAAATTAAATAAGGCAATGCATGCTAAAAAAATCTACAAGTGGGAAGGATATCTCTGAGCCTGTATTAAATTCTGTTATCATCAGCTATTTCACAGGACACTGGTGAAGGCCTCAAATGCAGGCCGTGTGGGCTGTGTGGCACACCACACTTGCCCTGTGCACGCCAGGCATGTGACCCCATGAGGAAGCAGGCAGCACCTGCAGCGTGGAGGAGCACAGGCCTGAACAATGTTCTGCATGCAGTACAGGGACGCCACCACCTCCCACAAAACACAGCTCTGGGATGATTAAAAGCAAAAGCCAGCTTCTCTTCTGCTCTCTCCATATTTAACAGAACTGTCAACAGCGATGTGGACTTGTGAGCATTTTGCTGATGCTGGGCTCAGAAACAAAATGCCACAGGCTCGAAAATGCCTCTATCATACACATGGGATCTGGGCTCTAGGGCCAAACCCAGAGCCTGTACTGCTAACTGCCTGCCACAAGACAGACTGGGATAGAAAGAATATGGTCAGAACCACATCTGAATAAAATTGGGCAAGTCTGTATTCAAATAGTTTCTTCATCTTTTAAGAGACAAGAATCATGGCATTGTCACAAGGTTAAGTGAGATAATAAGGGCAACACACACACGCACACACAGAAAACTTGCTTGGGGCTCCTACCTCCTTGTCCAGATGGGCACTCTTGGAATGGCAGGTGGTCACTGTGGCATTGTTCCACAGCAGCAAGTCATGCATTGGGGCACCCACTATTTTACTGCGTCCGACCACCACTGCGTGACTTCCAGCAATCTGCACCCCTGCAAGAAGAGCCAGAGTGCATCAGAGGTAGGGTACAGGAGCCATCCTCCTTTGTATGTCACCCAAGTGGAAAACCGAGAACAAGAAGTACATGAAAGCAGGGTCCTAGTGTCAAACAGAAAGTTCCATGAAAACTCTCCTTCTCTCGCAGTGAGAGAGAGATGAGATGTTCTCAGCTCTAATGCTTCAGCTACAGATTGGGATCCGTGCACCGTCCTTTGCGGTGGATCTGAGAAAGCAGCTTAGGCCAAGATCCATTCATTGAGTCATAGGGGAGTGGGAAGAAATCTTACACTCAAAAAAGAAAATCTGACATCCAGCTAAAGAGCCATATGGAAGAAGTTATCAGATGAAATTACATGAGAAAACAGTTATAACAACTAGAGTATATGGGATGAGGTGAAGAGAACTGAAGGAAATCAGATTAGCATCAGTAATTTTTTCCAAGTTTAGTAAATTTATTTATGTAGTCCTCATCCATATTTCTCTTTCAGTTTAGGGCCTGAGCCATAGGCCTATTTGCAGGGAAGAGATGAGAGGAAATTCAGCTACAATAGAAAGCTTTTTTTTTTTTTTGCTTACTCAGCATCCACTTTCTGGAAAAAACTGACATCCTTGTGAGGACTGATTTCTACTCTACTTAAACAGGTTTGTGCAAGTACTCATTAGTGGACAAATACTCTAGTCAATAAAATCCAATCCCGTGAGCATTTGGTGGAACAAGGCTGGACCTTCTCAGGGCCATAAGGAGCCTGAGAAATGAGCTACCCCAACAGAAGGAAGCAGGGAGAAGGTCTTGAAGACTTTGTCTGAGCCCCTTCAACCACTCAAGGTTGGAGGCTGTCAACCCTTGTGTAAGGGAGTTTTAGTGTATATTATGTTTCTTGCTTAAAATTAATTTTATTGGGCCAGGAGTTTAGCACAGCAGCGCAAGTGCCTATTTGGCAAACATGAGGTCATGAGTTCAATCCCTGATACCAAAACAAAGAACAAAAAACACTAAAAAACAAAATTTTATCAGGACAAGATCAGCTCTTTTTTTTTTTTTTTTTTTTTTGGTCTTTTTCATTTTTATCGGTACCAGGGATCGAACTCACGACTGCCTGCTTGCAAGGCAGGTGCTTATGCCACTGAGCTAAATCCCCAGCCCCCAAGATCAGCTCTTATAAAATGCTAACATCATGATCGCTGAGGAGTAAGACTTCAACGTTTGAGGTGCTGAAGAAGTACCGTGGCTAGGGATGTGACTCAGTAGTAGAGCACCAGTCCGGCATGAGGAGGTCCTGGGTTTAATGTCAACACCGCAAGTAAACAAACGGTACCTCAGGGTACCTTCCAGGACTCACCAAAGACCTGAAGCTGTCTTAGGGCCAACAGCAGCTTCACTATCAGTAAGATGAAGCGGGAGCCGGGTATAGCATCACTTTAATCCCAGCACTTGGAGAAGCTAAGGCAAGAGGGTCAAAGTTCAAGCCCAGCCTGGGTACCTTAGCAAGACTCTGTCTCAAAATAAAAAAGGCTGGGGATGTAGCTTAGTGCAAAGGCCCTTGGTTCAGCCCCTGGAGGCACCAAAAACCAAACCAAACCAAACCAAAAACAGTGGGACACTGATAGCTGCTATAGCTCGTGGGACTCGATTTGCTGTTTGTTTTGAGCCAGGGTCTCACTCAATTGTCCTAGTTGGCCTCAGATTCCTGACTGTCCCACCTCAGTCTCCTGAGTAACCGGGATTACAGGTCAAGCTATGGCCTGACCTTTTCTTGCCAATGACAGAAAATCTTCACTTAGGCTAGTCAAATTTTCCACTTGAAACTTCTGACCTACTTCTTTTGAACACGACCCATTTTCCTGTTAAAAAAAAAAATAACCTGTGCTGCAAGTCTTCATACTGAAATCCCACTCTATAATGAGGTAATACGGCCAAATGTTGGAGAGCTCTGCTGCCAGCCATCTGTCTGGTCTTAGTCTTGGTGCTAGTTCCAGGGATGGGGAATTTTTACTTTGTATCCTTACATACTCCCCATATAGAGGATTTTTTTCACCAGAATAAACTGCTTTGAACTCAGACAACCTAAGAGTTCAAATCTTGGTTTGATGCTTTCTTAGCTGTAAAACAATAATAGCACCTACTTCATGCATTGTTAAGAAAAACTGGGATTTAAAGTCCTAGTATACAGGCCCCTTGAGGGTCCACAGGACACTTTTTCTGGATTTGTGCCGCTTTCCTGGTGTTTGCTTTGTGTGTCTTTACCTGTCTCTTTGATGAGTTCCAAGCATCCTTTAGGCGTACAAGGAATGAAACAGTCCTTGAGATCACCTCTAGCAAGTTTTCCAGCATTGATGCTAGTCAACCTAAAATACAAAAAGTGACAAAAATAAGGGAGAAAGTAAAAGTAAAGTAGGTGTTTTTACTTTTCATAAACAAATGCTCTGTTTCCAGAACAGAAATGAATTATCAGTGGAATCATGTGATGCGATGCAGGAAGCCAAGCCACACTCACCCATCCACATCCTTTTCAGGTGCAATAGCATTGATGACTGCTTCAGTGTTAATGGGATTCTCTGAATCTAAAGGCAGCTGTACTATGAATCCGTGTACAGTAAAGTCTTCATTTAGAGATATGACACGCTTTAACACCTATAAGTAAGACCATATGTAATCCATATACCGCATAGAACTCAAAATGGAGAAACACTTTCCAAAGCAAACGTCAAGCCTGGCATATCATTCTAACACTCGAGAGGCTGAAGCAGGAGGATTATCTTGAGTTTGAGGCCAGCTTAGACCACATGATGAGTTCAAGGCCAGCCTGAACAGTCTAGTGAGACCCTATCTCAAAAAACAAAAATCCAAAACAAACACCAAGTTGCCTCACTTCCTCCAAGAGTTAATTATAACCCTCTCAGAATGTACCTGCCCTCCAAATCCTGAGAAGCCAACCTTTTCAAGCAGAATGTATTTCCAGGTGTTTGGTAAGAAACTCATCAAAAAACAAGCAAAGAACTTTAAAACCTTACCACTGCAACAGTAAGACCCATGTTACAACCATCTAAACACTGTGGAGCAGCAAGGCCCAGTATCTTTGCTGTGGTGAGAAATGCACCTTACAACTCAATAGCAGCTAGGAAGTACTTGAAACATGGTTGGGGCACCCAAGAAACTGAATTTTTAATTTTATCTCACTATAATCATTTCCACAACCTCTGAAAGCGACTATCATCTCCTGCCTCTTTCTACGTATTCCACAGTTGTGACTTTTAAAGTCACCATTGATTTGTTCTGTCTATGCCTAAGGTCATCATATAAATGGAACTTGTACCTGGTTTTTAAATTGAATATAACTATACGCCCAGGATCAGGGTTTGTTTTTGTTGCTGCTGCTTCGTGTGTGAATGGTGGTAAGGATTAAACACGGGCCCTTCACACTGAGCCACATCTCCAAGACTGCCAGCTTTTTTTTTTGAGGCAAGTCTTACTAAGGTGCTAAATTTCCCAAGTTAGACTCAAATTTGTATTCCTTTCCCCTCAGCCTCCTGGGAGAACGGGGATTTGAAGGGTGTGCCACCAAGGCCAGCCTCCAAGAATCAGTTTTAATAGCATCACAGATGACCTGGAAGCCAATCAGATTCTGAGGACCAACTGCTTAACCCTGGGACTACCCCACTGACTCCTGGATATTTTCAAGCACTTCTTGGAGGCAGAGTCTGCGAAGAATTACCTGGAGGTCTAATGCGCAAAATGACTCGGTCTCTCACGTTTCACCAAACCAAAGAGAAAAAAGCATGTGAGCTATCCTCGTTATAATCAACTAATTCACAAGAGCTCACCTCAGATTCTGTGGCTGATCTTGGTAATTTAATGTGGGTGGCTTTGATCCCAATCTGCAAAAGCAAACATTTAAAACAGGTAAATGGCAAAGAAACTTGAGAAATGGGCCTGCTTCTTTTAAACACACAACTAAAACCAGGAGTGTTAGTTTATCAATCACCTCATCCTAGGTCTGCACATCACTCATTTGCTGTCACTGCTGCACTCACCAAAATTTAATCCCTGCTATTGCTGGGCTTTGGGAAGTAAGAAATCATGGGCCAGAAGCATTCAGGGGCAAGCAGATAATGAAGCACTAAATCATCAGCTACTGATTTGAGAGAAACAGGTAAGTCTGCTGACCAGTAAAAGTTTGATGGGAGGGACCCAAAAGACAACAGGACCTGGGGCGGAGAGGGGGAGGCTGAGGGCAGTTGTTCTGGGCTTTACCTCTTCAGCAGCCTTCAGCTTCATATTTATATAAAGATTGGAGTCGTCTCTGTTGCCAACCTAGAATAATAAATACATGCAAATCAGATGGTTAGGGAATGACAGCGTGCAGAAAAGCTTCCATGACTTCAGTTTCAATCAGAAAGGATGTCTGAGCACCACTCTTGTTGCAAAGAACTAGTACAGGAGAAAAAGGAGGTGATCAGGGTGGGAGGGGGATGTGAACATAGATGATACCCAGCTGCCCCCAAACGAGGCTTGCCTGAGTCCCACTGACAAAGCCTGAAGAAAAGACGAAGCGAAACAGAGCAACAACACACACCTACTGTCCCAGGTACTACTCAGGAGGATCACCTGAACCCCAGAGTTCAAGACCAGCCTCGATAGTATACAAAGTCCAGCTGCCAGACAGGTGGTGAAAGACAGGAGGAGGGAAAGAGAGGAAGTAGGGGACCCTCTGTGTGTACCAGGAGCTAAGCACTGGGGCTCCATGCCTAGCAGAAACACCTAGAACTGCTGCTGACACACAGGAGGAGGAGTACTGTGAACTGTCCTCTGGCAACAAGACACCTAAGGGCAGGAACATATGAAGGCATATTCCACACCCTCCCCAACCCCAGAGCAGCCAGCCACAGAGAAGATAAGCCAGTTTCTCACAAAAGTACAGAAGGAAACACCCAAGACAAAGAACTGAAGCTTGCCTGGCTGGACTGAACAGGGCCCGGGATAAGGTCACCCTTCAGGAGGGTACTTCCAGGTCTGCCTTACGATGCTGCTGCTGGACACTGTGCTCAGATCTAGGGGGACACGGCCTGAGTCACAGCTTCAGTCGTCCCTTCCACAAGCAGATCTCATTACAGAGCCAATTTCTATCTCCAGAGAACCGGAAGAGGCCTTGCACAGCAGTGCTGCCGCTGGTGTGGAAGCCATGGCCTCGCACTTCCTATGGAAGGGCTCTAGCACAGGCCTATGCTCCCAGCTGGGCCACAGACTTTACAGGAAAAGTGATTAGACAGTCATAGATCACTAGATGCAAGAATGCTGAAGAATATTGGGTTCTGGACCGACTGTCAAGCGGGTGGGTGGAAGACTGGTGGAAATCTTAAACCCAATATGGTTCATCAAGAATACTGCAAAAGCATTTTATTAATTAGGAATGCTAATCTTTTCTTCAAAGTGGTTAAGTATTACAGCATCCAAAAAAGATCCCATTCCAGAACAAGTCAGGGTTTTGTTTTATTTACTTAGTTAACACCAGGAATCTGCAAACTGTTTCTGTAAAGGGTAAAAGGCCAGATTGAAGGGGCGTATCTGGGGCTTTGTGGGTCACGCCCCAGGTGACTGTCCCTGCTTTTTAAATCTTTGACACGTTGGCAGCATGTGGTCATGGGCTGATATTTAATCTTCCCTGTTTCATACCATAAAATATCTTGGATATTGCCATATTCATTTTCTTCCTATTTCAGGAATATATTACAGTATATTCAGTTGAGTATATTACATTTATTGGTTTTGTCCATGTTTAGTGAAAATTGAGTTTCTATAAAAGGTATTGTGATAAGTAAACACATATTAGCTATTACATTATTAATAACTAAAGTGTTTTTTTGTGCCAAGGGATGGAAATACAACCTCATTTCTCTCTCTTTTGAAAAGTCATCTCAACTCTGTATACAGTATTCAGTTATGAGGGAAGTTCCCTACCTATTAAAAAACCCAAAAAACCAAGGTGAAATACATGAATTTGGGGTCCAGAAGTAGGTTCTGGTCCCAGAATCAGTCCACTGCCTGACTGGCCTTGGGCAAGCTATCAGAGGTCCATCAATAAAGGGCTCCTACTCTGCAGGGGCAATGTGGTAATTAGAACAATTACAAAAGCAGTTACAAACATACAGACCATCTGAACTAAAGCCAGCACTATGGCTATAAGCAGTCATGCTTTCTTTAATAAAGGATTAGGAGTGGGTGTACTGGGTGAACTTAGTCACACTCGGGGTTGTTTTGTTTTGTGGTGCTCTACCACTGAGCTACATTTTAATAGAGCTGCTACTATGGTCAAAAGGACAGAGAGGTGTCGGTAAATGAGATCTGAAACTTGTGAGCAGATGACGACAGTGACACCAGGACAGCATTAGAAATCAAGAGGATGGAACTGATTCTGAGAGCTGATGAGCAGTACAATCTCCAGGGCAACGACACTGCAGGAAGTGAGGGAGAGATACCCTAACATGACGACGCAGGCTTGTAGAATGGGTACATGAGAAACGGCAGTGTAAGCACTGGGATGGAAAAGACCAGACATGATCACAACACATTACGTAGGCCTTGTAGTGCAGAAAGACGTTGACTCTGGTGCTGAAGTACAAGCTGGAACATTTAACAGCTGTTTTATTACAAGGGCATTAAGAGATGAGCTTTCAAGCAGTGTTTATGTACTAGAAACACTGTAATCAACAGTTTAAAGTTGATTCTAAAAGTTGGTTTTAAAAATGGGGGGGAAAATGGTGCATGTCTGCAATTCCAGCACTTGGAAGGCTGAGACAGGAACATCACAAGTTCTAGGCCAGCCTGAACTGCACAGCAAGATGAAAAACAAAAGAAAAGATAATAAATAAAAACTCTTCCCAGTATTTTTCTTTCTTTTTTCCTTTTTTTGAGACAGGGTCTCAGTTTGTAGTACAGACTATCCTTGAACTCACTATGTAGGCCAGGCTGGCCTCAAACTCTTGGGGATCCTCCTGCCTCAGCCGCCCAAGTGCTGGTATTATAGGTGTGAGCCACTATGTCTGGTGATTCTTAAGTATTTCTAAGAACAAGGACTTTTATTAACTTCGTTTATAATTCCAGAATCAGGCAACACTGCATCCCATAAACCACAACTAGCATTTCAACAAGTTAGGCAGAGTAAGTTTTATAGACAGAAAAGGGTCAAAGCAGGGTTTAAAAGTACATAGGTCAAAATTCCTTTCTTTGTAAGGTAGGCACAGAGTTGGAACAAGAAACAGTTGATTGATTAACATTGGGTTACGTTAGGTTATCCTTTTTTGGTGACATGATTAAACCAGAGGGCGCTTCGCTATCATGCCAATTCAAACTGCCCTGTTTGGAAATTTGTCTATTAGCATATCTGATTGTTCAGAAAGTCAAACAGTTTTCAGGTTCATAACATGGATCTTCAGCCCTGATGTCTCCACTGTGATTTTTACTTTGCTCTGCTGGGTTCCAGTGCAGGAGCTCAGTGCAGAACAATGGCCTCCTTATTTTTTAAGTTTTTGTTTAACGGACTACAGCATGGATTTTTCTCCATTCTTCGTTTGTTTGGCAGTGCTAGGGTTCAAGCCCAGGACCTCTCACATTCAAAGCAAGTGTTCCATCACTGAGCTACACCCTCAGCCCAGAAACAGATTTCTTGCCTATGACTTTGACTTTCTTTTTATAGCAGACAATTCGCAAGAATAAGCCAAGAAAAAAACTACTCCCCAAATGTAACGAGTATACACCCACAATACATAACTTTTGACTCTCAGTGAAAGGAAAGCCCACCAGGGCAGAGAACACACCAGGCACTTAATGCCAGCCCTGGTGTTCCTTTCTCTTCAGCAAAGCCTCTAAAGCAGCAGGGAAAGAAGATATTTAAGTACCATTCTTCTGCATTTCTTGATGAACAAGGAACTTAGCAAGGGAGTAAATGATGTACACAGAGACAGGCACTCCGAGAGACTGTGAGGCTAGGAAGCTGGCACTTCTGAAAGGAGTTTCAAAGGAAGCTGTGAGTTTCCCTGCTGTTTGACTCAATCCTTCAAGAACTCATTTGCATATCTGCCCATACAAGTATCTACTGAATGCCCCCAAGCTCAATCTGGAGCTAGGGAAGAAACACTGGAAGAATACTTTCATGAAGCTACATGATTGGGTGAAGTCACTTAGGAAATTAAGATGGAGAAAAGGCCTGAGGCCCGGGGCCCAAGACATTCACAGGATTAGGCAGGAGGGAGATGACAAGCATTTGTACCTGTACATGATACATCTTGATTCTTTCCCATTCCCCTACCTTCCCATTAATCCTTCTTCCTGTCAGTTACAAAAGCTGTTTCCATTTTTTTCCTTCTTCTTCTCGATTTTTTTTCTTTTCCTTTCCTCCTCCCTAGTTCCCCTTTTCATTTGAACATTTTGTTCCTATTTCCCAATGTCTATTATATATTTTGGTCCTTATTTATACTTTTGGTGTCTCACATCAGAGAAACCATGAGATATTTACATGTGTGTCCAATTTACTTAGCTTTATGGTCTCAAGATACATTCAGTTACCTAGAAATGTCTCAGGTTTATCATTCTCTAAGGCTGAATAGCAGTCCATCTGCTTTATTCATTCATCGGTTGCTGAGCACTTGGGTTGTTTCCAAGATATAGCTCTTACAAACTGTGCCATTATAAAAATGGGTGTGCACATATCCATGATCCTTTTCTTTGAGGAAGGTATCAAGAAGGGGAATAGCTGGGTCAAATGAAACCTCTACTTTTAGTTTTTTGTGGAATCTCCATGCTGACTTCCAGTGGTTGTACCAGTCTACACTCCCAACAGGGAAGGATTCCTTTTTCCTCACTGCTTGGCCAACATTGGTTGATTTTTTTTTTTTTTAATTGGTACT